AAAAAAAAAAAAAAAAAAAAAAAAAAAAAGCAGAAGACAGTGCTTATAGTCATGTTCAGTCACACTACCTTATTCCAAAATGGCAATTATATATTAATACTTATTTCATGTTTTTCTTACTAGTTCATGTTAATTGGACTGTCTTAGGAAGGAAGAAAAGGCAGTGATACTGTGTTTGAGATATACATTATATTGAATAGGTTGGACCTCAAAGAAACCTCAAAGTCATTTTTAACTCCCTTTCTTTCCCTACACACCAAGTCCAAAGTATTCTTATTTTTATTTATTAATAAAATAATATTAATTAGTTCAAATGTTTCTTCTTTTTCAAGCCATTACCAGAATTGTGATTCAATTCTGTATCATTCTAGACCAAGAATAGTCATCATTACACTAATATTAACAGAGTCCCTATTCTATAATATGCATAAGATAGGTATGGAAAATACAAAAATGAAAATAGTGACTAACTCTAAGGATCTCACAATGTAGTAGATGACACAGAGAAGCCATTAGAGAATTACAATTCAAGGAATTAAGTGCAATGACAGTAAAGACAACAAGAAAACACAAAAGTACAGAGAGGTGACAAAGATTCTTCGCTTGACCAAATTTTAGTCAGGCTCCTCTGAACCCTCTCCTTAACAAGCCCCAACCATGTATTTCCTTGTAGGAATCCTGCTTAAGTCCTTTTAGCAAGAATTCACCACCTTTGATATCTGATCAAATTCTTCACCCCTACCATCCCCCAGGTGGTAGATGATCACCTTGGCCTGCTCAGCAAGAATCCTCTGTTAGGTTGGTTCAGCCAAAAATATTCCCAGACTTTGATGTCTCCTCTAGTAATGTTCCATTCACCAATGCCCCCACCCTACTTGCTCCTTGGCTATAAATTCCCACTTGTTCAGACTGTGTCTAGAATTAAGCCCACTCCTCTACTGGAGTAGCTTCCCCTACTACAATAGTTGTTTAAATAAAGTCCATCTTTACCACTTTAACTTTTGTTTGGCTCTGGTTTCCTTTAACAGAGGTAAAAAATTTATCAAGAGGTTCAAGAGGAGTAAAGATAAACAAGAGCTGAAGGAATTTGTCACCAGCAGATCTGCAATACAAGAAATATTAAAAGGAGTTCTTTAAACTGAAGGAAAATGATGACAGATGAAAGCATGGAACTGTAGGAAAAATGAAGAACTTGGGAAAGGGTAAAGATAAAAGAACAATGACTATTTAAAGCAATAATAATATAAGTGCCCTGTGTGTTTATGATGTATACAAAAGTAAAATATACTGTATCAATAGCACCAAATGTGAAAAGAAGTAAACAGAGTTAAACTGTTATAAAGTTCTTGAACTGTTTGAAAAATAACATACTAGTTTAAGACTGTAATAAGCCAAAAATGTACATTATAATATCTAGGGTAGCCACCAACAGAAAAATACCAAAACTAGTACAAAAAATCCAATAGAAGAGATGAAGTAAAGAAAAGAAATATACTTGATCAACCTAAAAAACGTAGAAAATGAAGACAAACAGAAAACAAACAAGATAATAAATTTAAACACAAATACATCAGTAATTACTGATTATATTACATAAATGTAAATGAGCCAATTAAAATGCATACTCTATCAGTCTGGATTATAAAAAAAAAACTTTGTGTTATTTACAAGAGATACTTTAAATGAGAGACACAGATAGGCTGAAACTAAAAAGTAAGAAAATGATATACGACGCAAACACAAACCAAAACAAACGTGATGAGTCAACATTAGCATCAGATGAAATAAACTTTAGGAAGAAGCATTAGTTGTGATAAAAAGGAACACTTCACAGTGATAAGAGGGTCAGTTCAACAGGAAGACATAATAATATTAAATGTGTGTACAACTAATAACATGGCTACAAAATACATGAAGCAAAAAAACATAGAACCAGAAGGAGAAACACATTCAAAATCTCTCAGAAACTGAGAAAAGACAAAAAAATAAAAATAAAAGACATAAAGTTTAAAAACTAACCAATTCAAATTTAGAGAACACTACACCTAGCAAGTGCAGAATACACACCATTTTTAAATGCATGTGAAATATTAAACAAGACAGTTGATAACCTAAGTAACAATGAAAGTCTCAAAAAATTTCAAAGGATTGAAATTATACAGAGTATACACTATGACCATAGAAAATTAAACAAACAAAAAAATCAGTAACAGATGGATAATTTTAAAATCCCCAAAAGGAATCAGAATCCAGATCTCCTATATTACCTAAAATGTCCAGTTTTTAACAAAAAGATTATGAGATATGCAAAGAAACAGGAAAGTTTAATCCTTGGGCAAGAAAAAAGGAAGGCAACAAACACTGCCTGTGAGAAGACCCAGATGTGAGATTTAACAAAATCTTCAAAGCAGTCATTATAAATATGTTCAAAGAACTAGAATAAACCATGATTACAGAAGTAAAGGAAGAGTGACATCAGTGAAAATGGAATATCCCTATACAGCAACAAGAAAAACTGAGTAAAAACTGTCAGAATCAACTTCATGAGAACTCTGGAAAACAGTCAAAGATATGCAACAACCAAGCAATTGTTGAGTCAGGAAAAAGACAATTTTAAAATGGTAGGAAAAATTGGCAGCATTTCTACTTTCCTCTCTGCTCATGAAGGGCTTAGAGATGGCAGCTGGTATTCCCAATGTGAAACTCTGGTTCATGGCTCTGGAGTGAAGAGAGCCAACCTTAATCTCAAGGAACTGATTTTTGTCTCTTTTGACCTGACTGGAAACTGACAGAAGAATTGTTGCAAGAACATACCTATGTTTCAACAAATTTGGAACTTTCTCAGAGCAGAAAAGCAGCTTCATAGAGGTAATTCCTCCAAAATGTTTTAAGGCAAATGACCAATGTGCTGCCACCTGGGGCAAAAGTTCTAAAGTTGAGGCCCAAAACAGACATGCTGAAAGCTAAAGAGAAAATGATGGGGAGAAAGTTTCTTTGGGGAATTAAAGCATTGAAAAGCACCTTTATATACTGGAGAAGAGGAAAGCCATATTCATGCCCAAGGAAGGACAGTTAAGAGAAGACCCTTAAAGCTTTCACCTCAGGCTGATCTTCAGTCTCAGCACAAG